CCCCCCCCCCAAAAAAAAAGAATATCAATGATTAAAAACTTTAGAGATAAAGAATGAAAACATGTAATGGCAACTCTATCTTATTAATACTATTTTCATAAATGTAATATTACATTGTAATATGAATAAAACTGTTATGACATACATGTTACATAATAATGTTCTGATCAAGTAAAATAATAATATAGAACTTTTTAATAGCAGATTATATCCATATACTAACTCTATTATGTTAAAGTATAAGCAAGTATGCTAATATTAAAAATTGCCACATACTTTGGAATAGTTTGGAAACTTTCATACAAACTCACTAGTGAATATTGTGTTCTTTAATTGGACCCAAGAAATGTGGAATGAGTAAGAGAAATATTCACAGCCAAACTTACTAATCAATTAATTTATAGTAAGGAATTTGGAAATTTACACAAGGTCATATCAAATGTAAATAATATGTGCACTGAAACATAAGGTAAGAGTATTTATGTATACTATGAACATTTTATCGTGTAAATACATGAGGAAATGGTTAACATCAAGCCTGGGCTAAATGGTTAACATCAAGCTTGGACTAACACATGCCAGCCTGGGACCAACCTTAGGCTCCACAGCATTGTTTCCTTAGAAACATTCATATCAGATGAATGGGAAATTTGGGGCCTGTCTTGGTTCTATGGAAGTGTACCCAGACTGGGGAAACCAGGGACTGGAATAGAAAGCTTGAATCCATATGATTAAAATTGTGTAAAAATTAATAGGAAGTAGGGGTAGTGGCTCCTACTTAAGACCAATTGCACACACCTTGACTCTCATTTTCTACAGTCTTTGCCTATGTGAAGAGACAAAAGAAACATACTACTCATGTAGTAGCGTGGCATATCTGTACATAAAGACCATATCACAATTCTGTACCTGATTTAACTGGCTTGTTGCCTGCCAGGAAGCCAAGTAAACATAGTTTATTAGCTGAACTAGGTCTATTTGTTTTCATGAGTTCAAATCCATAACTACATCTGTAGTTCTGACTTCTGTGGTGTGTGAAAAAGAGAGGAAGAGTGATGTGCTATATCACAATGGTAATTTTGTGTCTGTAATATATAACCTAATATAACCAACTTATTTTTTCTTGCATTTAGAAGGCGGAAACTAAACAATTTATTTTTATTGGATCATTTTGTGCTCAAAAGTACATGTTAAAATACATTTTAAAGCTTCAACTAACAGCATATAAGAGCTTCTAGATTCTGAAGCTACTGGAAATAATAGCCATCATATTTTCCTAAACCCTTTAAAATTGAGCTATGAACTTCATTTTTTCTGATCACAAAATAGTGCACATTTCACTTAGGTTTTATATGTAAGTACAGAAATCTGTATGCATTTAGCTGTGATTGTTGATTTCCTTCTTACCCTTCCAACAGATTCCTCCATTGTTACAGAGGTAAAATAATTCCATGACTAATATCCTGAATGATTAAATGATGTCTTCTAATGAGACTGATTCTTTAGGTTAATTATGATATGCCATTGGATAGCTTCTCATAGACTATGTGCTTCCTCACTTCATAATAACTGCCTAGCACTGCTTATATGTTATGTATGTTGACCTTGACCACTTAGCTTTGATTTATGGATGAGCTATGCTCCTACACATGATAGATCTTTAATAGATATTTGTTGAATTATGGGACCTTTCCAAATTCAGGATAATTTTTTTAATGTAAGAAAGGGCATATGTCTACTGTATTCAATGACATAAAAATATTAATTGTGCCCTCAAGTTAAATAAGTTTAATTATGGGAAAATAGTAGTAAATTAGACTATGTAAAAATCAGAGGCCCCTGCATGATCATGGAAGCCACAGGCAAAGTCAAAGGACAAAGTATAAATGGAGAAAATAAAAATACTTGTGACCAGCATCTCAGTTAAAAGACTAATTTTCTAAACACATGAAAGAGCTTCTGCAAATTAATAAGTAAAAAAGGCCAAAAAATCCCAGAAGAAAGTTGGACAAAAGATAGATAGTTCACAGAAAAATTATAAATGGATTTTAACCACATAAAAAGAAGCTTAGCTTTGGCTGTGAAAGAAACAAAAATGAGAATTTCATCTATTGCATGGGCAAAAATCCAAGTTTGAAAATATACTCTGTGCCAAAGCTCTGGAAAATACAGGCAGACTCTTCTACATGGACGGTATGATGTATATATTGGTGTTCTCTTTCTTTTCATTTTTCCCTCTTT